GACTCTGTAAAAACCAGGAAAAGAAAACACCCTTTATGATCAAAAAATATTTTGTACAATAAAAAACCCCCACCTTGTTGTTTTTGCATTGATTGTATCAAAATGAAAAGAAAACACCCTTTATGATCAAAAAATATTTTGTACAATAAAAAACCCCCACCTTGTTGTTTTTGCATTGATTGTATCAAAATTACTTGTCCAAAATGAAGTTTCTGTCCTGTCCTATAGAAGGAGGTAGGGGGGAAATGGTATAGCTCAATAAAACTATGACTACTTGGGTCTGTTTTCATAATGGGGCATAATACAATAGTTAAAAGGGGCTGTAGAAACTATTAAGTGCTTGATGGATGTTTGTTCTAATTTGATTCATATTTAAAAACTGTTAATTTAAAAAATGGAAACAAAGGAGAAGCTATATAAAAGTAAGCAAATACTGTTTCTAGAAATAAACTTTTCAAACAGTGTGTGTGGGGGGGAAATCTTATCACCTCTTTAGCTTAGTAGATGTCAGGCACTTCAAATGCCCTCAACAGCCCAGCTATCGGAAATGGATGTCTTGTGAATGATCCGTTTTATGGAGCTGTGCACACTGCAGTATTTATACTAATTGCTTTAGCGAGGGTAAATTAAACACAAGTAAATTCTGGTGGGTTCTGGAGCCCTGTTGATAATTTCCCTTCATTGAAGAAAAAGAAAATTCCTGTTTTTTAATTTCTCAGGTCCCTGCATCCGAGTCCACGTTGTGTTCTGTTCTCATTGAGGTAATGGGAAAGGCAGACTTTTTCCCAGGAATCCAGAATAAACATTTATCTTGGTGCCTTATGAAAAACATGAAGGAGAGGAAGTATGTTGGGCCTATAGAAGTGATATAGGCTTTTATATGGGGATAATTTATTGATTCTCGGGCTTTTGTGAAAAGAGAGTTCATTGAGGTGTATGGCCTAATTAAATAGACTGGAACAATTCTGATTCTGGCATTTTTCTTAAAACTCAATATATCCTGTTACATGTTTGTGCAAAATGAGCAAAGGTGGCATTCAGGACTCTTACCACCCACGTTGCCTGTTGTAATAAACCATCTGCCATAATTCTTAGTGATTTAAAAGAGTGTCGCACGTAGATTTTTAACTCATAACTGTAACTATGAAACTGAAAACAAACAGTATGGCTTCCTCCCCCCCCTTAATTATTTATAATCAGCAATAGCTGGCAAAGCGTGAGTGCTTCATGGTGATAATTCTCTGCCCTGAGCTCAGCTTTCTGTAGACCGCAGGAAATGTAACATGGCATCTTGGTAGGACAAGAGTTAGTGAAATGAAAGAAAGGATCAATGGTTATTTTTTGACTCATGTGAGGAGGGACAACAGTGTGCCAGCTGAGCTATTGCACCTTCAGGTGTTGGGAAGTTTTTCTTGGGAGCTTGAAATTGAAGTGCTTCTCCTCTAGAGAGATACGCTAAAAAACTCCTGCCTGTTCTTACACCACTTAGTATGTGTTTCAAAGACATGGGGTTTTTTAACAAGCCTATTGATGTACCTGTTTAAGTCTGAATAGTGTTTAATAGATTTTAGTGGTAGTATGTTTCAGTACTTGAAATGACTTTGGATGGGATAATATTATGTCCTTTTTATGTCAGTTTTGAAGAATTGAACTACACAAAGAGTATGCTGGAGTTATAGGGACAGTAAAATTATTTTTGAATACTTACTGATACACTTTAAGGGCATCTTCCTGATTCATAGAAAATATTCCACAGTGTTTTATTTCCACTTGAGCTTTTCAAGCAGCTGTGTATTTTAGCATGGAATATTTCAAATTGTTAGCTGGATCTATGTTTTAAAGTATACAATTCTGGTTTGCTTGTTTACTGAATTGTCAGATTTTCACTTCTTTTTTATTTTTATTTTCATACCATACTTGCTGGTATTGAGAAGTGTGGCTGCTTAGACTGTCTAGGTATGAGGGAGGTCATGCCAGCATTACAAGAACATAAAACATTGAACTTAGCATTTGGAAATTAAAAATGAAGCATTCTTCAGGTTTTCACACACCCAACTATATCCTCAGATAATGGACTGTCTGAGTCTTCTCGCTTCTGAGATCATTGTATTTGAAACAAATTCCTTATCTCTTGGCTGTGGCTTCTTATAATGGATGGTGGGGGGGAAAGTGGTAAGGGTAACTTCCCAAATACACGTGGAAAGTATGGTGCCATGGATTTAAGCCTTTCCTATGGCTTTGGTGGAGCACAACATGTAGCAAGGACGAGGAAAACAGTTAGAATAGAGAGCAAAGGGTTTGAAACACTGTGAGAGTGCAGATCTGTTGATACATCTTTACTAGCTGCAGCAAGACGGTGAGGCAAAAGAGTATTTCCAGGAGAGAAACTCTTGTCCACCTGAGATGTGTGCTGAGCCCTAGTAAATGGCTGGTGTGCAGGACCCAGTCCTGTAATCTGTGCCTTCAGGGGCACGCAGGCAGAAGCTCTCTTCTCTGGGGAGCTGCAAGATCAACAGGGAGAGAAGCTGGATGACACTGATGGGAACACCGTTGGCCACTGTGCTCAAAGGCTGGCCAAGGAGGAGACCCAGGGGAGAAGATCTGCTCAACTCTAAGCAGCTGTGCTCGGAACGGGGGTGCTCACCAGCTCTTGGGGGATGAAATGGATCAAGAAGTGGCGCTTTCATCTTTGTGTCGTAAAGGATAGCAAACACATGGATGGCTCTAGAAAGTATCTAAATAATGTGTTTTATGTAATGTAGTATAATGAAACACCTGCTTCTGTGAGAGAGGTATGGGTTGAGTGAGAAGGAATTAAGATGAGTGTTATTTTTAACAGTTTAGCCAGCACTCATGAATTGACTTAGGAAGCAAGGGTCACAAGTTCAGCAGCATTTGTCACTTCAGCCCAGTTCCTAATTAAACAACTTTAACATTATAAAATCGCAGTAAACTCAGAAGTCCCACAGTTTTCATGCGCCACGTGTGTGGTAAAACACAAGCATCAGACGTAAGTAAATCTCAGCCTTCAAGTCTTTAGAAGTATTTTTCTAAAATATATATATATATATATCTGAGTTCATCAGTAAGCCAAGGGCTGCTGAAATGTGTTTGGCAGTAGTCCCTGCTGCCTCCAAACGCAGCTGAACAAACAGCCCACAGCTCGCACAGGAAGACAGGCCAATTGGGTAGGAGGGCAGGAGGGGACAGCGTGGTAGATTTCGTGTCGGAGCAAGAGAGAAGCACACTGCCACCTCTGTGTTTATATAGCCACTAGGAACTGTGCTTAGAGGAATTGGTATCCTGCGGTTGGGGTGGTAGAGAAAGACCTTTCTAGTTTTCGGGCATACATTAAATGACACTTTAAATAAACTTTACTTAAAGCTTTGTGTGTCTTAAAGAAAAACTCGAAACTCGAATTTTCTGTGTTTATATAGCCACTAGGAACTGTGCTTAGGAATTGGTTGATCCTGCGGTTGGGGTGGTAGAGAAAGACCTTTCTAGTTTTCGGGCATACATTAAATGACTGAAATGACTTTAAATAAACTTTACTTAAAGCTTTGTGTGTCTTAAAGAAAAACTCGGTTTGGGAATTTGACCTGTAGGGCTCTTGGAAAGAAAGAAAATTTATGTTGTTTTTCTCAAAGCGGGGGGAAAAAGCAGCATTCTCTTTAATGGTGATTGTTGTTTTCAGGGAAGGCTTTCCTGGAATAAGATTATTACAGTGTGTTAGTAACGTGGCATCACTTTGCTCTTTTTATGGCATCCTTTTGCTCTTCGTGACTTCGCCGCTTTAGCAAACACTTTCCCTGTATTTAACTTGCAGTAAGCTAGGAGGCTTCAGGCGATTGACCACAGAGACTTTGCTGGCTGCACATGAGGGAAGTGTGCACAAGACCAAATTATTTTTGAGTAGTGGAGTTTATTGAGGCCACATCTGCAGCCTGCATGAATTTACAACCACTGTTAACAGAAGTACAAGGCATGGAATAACCGCCATCTATTTTAGCTGTGCAGCGTGAAGTGCTATTATTAGGACCAGCATTAGGAGCTGTAAATCCAGATACAGGCAGTGGAGGGAGAGAAGCATCCTGAAGGGACCGATTTAGAGAGCTAGAAGGAGGCTGTGCCCTTTAGCATCCGCTGTAGCTGACAAATAGCAGCAAAACTGTGGTAAGCAGGTCCAATGAACGTTTATGGTGCGGTAGCCTATAACATGATGAACGGGGATGCTTCTGCTTCTCTGAATTACTGCCTTTCAGATTTCATAATCGTCTTCCTCCAGAGTTTAATGTGACCTTTTTTTCAGTGTCGTTATGCACTGTGACTTGCAGCAGTGTTGAGTAAATGCCAATCCACCAAGTCCTGGTGCAGGGCTCTGGAGTGAGGCCGTGACAGTCCAGCCTTGCCCCATAGAGTGCGCAGCGGGAGCGTGGATGGATGTGTGATTTACACAGCAAACATGTTGGCAACCAGTGGCAGCAGCAGATTGATAACAAAAGCGTTGTTGAGTATGGCATGTCTATTGAGAGCTTCTGTTTAATGGTGCCGTATTAAGCCACAGAAATTTCCCTTTTGATACATAGAAATAGGTTGACGTAAACCATGACTGAATGCGAAGGAGGTTTCCCCCCCTACACCCACTGCTTTGGGAGAGATCATGTTGAGGATGAGAACATCAGTGAGATTATTTATGGGATCAAATACTAATTTTACTTTTGTGCGCTTGTGATCTGAAAAGCAATTTAATACTGCTGATGCTATTACACAGTTTTGTAGCAGTCCTCTGTAGCAGTGGTGACTTGGATAGGGCTTGCTTTCTGCTCATCTATTTCTACAATATTGCTTTGTTTCTTCTCTTTCATTGCAGACTGTCATAAACATTTCTCCAAATACTTCACAGTTAGCAGTCTCCAAAACATTCTTCATTCAATACCTCATGTGCAACAACCATTTTCCCTAGTTGTGATGCTTTTCTTCTTATTCATCCTTTCTGTTAGGAGAAGCCTTTTGTATCGGAAGCAGCTAGGAAGAAAGAGAGAGACTTGGTGGCCAAAGAAATTGAGAAGTTTCAGGTCTCTATTCAGACTCTGTGCCAGAGTGCCCTTACGCTTGGCAGGATCATGGATTACATTCAGGAAGACATGGATGCCATGAAGAATGAGTTGCAGATGTGGCGGCACGAGAACAGACAGCATGCAGAAGCTCTACAGAAAGAGCAAAGGTGAGTGTGGTCAGGGAAAGTTTGATTTATCTCTCAAGACAGATTTCTGTTTTTAGGAGAGGGGAGAGTTTTACTCATTTTTCAAAGCATATTTGTCATCAGTCATTTTTGTGGTTTGGGGATATTTTTTTGCAGTCTGAATTGTTTTTTGAAGTGTTAAAGTCTTAAGGTCTTTTCAGCTCCATTTCACATGATATACATGACAGCAGAGATGCAAATGTTTGTGTGATATGACAGGGCTTGATACGTTTTCTTCTTCTCACAAATATATAAGAGGCAATGGGGGAAGACTTTAGTAAACAAAGCAGATTTTGAATCGGGACTAGGAGTGGATTCCTAAATCACAACCTGCTCTCTTTGTGCCATTGAATTCAGCATGTTCTGCAGTGGTGTTAATAACAGTTGTCGTCTACGCAAGGTTAAAAAACAACATTGGAAAGCCAGGAGAGTGAAGGTGACGTGCATAATAAAAACAAAGAGGTCAAGCCTAGAAACAGTTTCTTGTCTCACCAATGTGTCTTTATGCTCCTTGAAAACAGAACGTCCCTTCCAGTTGTGTCCCCTCTGATCTTAAACATGAACTAGATACTGATCTTGGATTCACAATCATCCTAGATAGATTTGCTGCTCCCGAATCGATGTGCTTCATTCATGCAGAGCAAGTATGGGTGGTATTCTTAGCTAAGTCCTATCTTGGTAGGTAGCAATGTGTTAAATGTTGGAAATTTACAGCTGCTGGCTTAGTCCACTGGCTGGGGTGGGAATTAGGGCTTTGGTTCACATATAAAGTGTAATGATGTTAATTCCTTGCACTTACGTAGCACCTTCTATCCCAAAACCTTGACAGGCTTTAAAACTCCAACTGGTCTCAGAACGCACCGCCCTTGCAAAGGGAAAGGAAATGGTGTTTGGCTTTATTTTGCGGCTGGAGAAACTGAGGCATTGACTCACTCACCTTTGTACCACACCTAGTGACAGGGAGCAAATCTCAGGCCTTTCTCCAGGCATGTACTTACTCAGTGGATCCACTTTGGCCTTGCCAAACAAGTCATTTATATTTCGGCTGGTTTCCCAGCACAATGGCTGTACATGCTCCGCTGGCTTTTTATGTCTGCTGAGTTCACAGGCAAAGTGTACTAAGGACAAGACTGTCTCCTGCACAGTGGTGCAGAAGGAGAGGGGGAGTGGGAAGAAGGAACTGCGCAGCTCATTTTGTTTGCAGATTTGTGTCAAACCAAGCTTTACAATGGCCAGCTGTTTTGTGCGAGACTGCGGGCAGGCTAGCATCCCCTCAGCAGAGCCAGTCTGTTCCCTTTCATGAGCTAAGACTGCCGCAGCGTATCCCTGCACTTCACAAGGTTTTGTATGAGGTCCTAATCAGATCAGTGTAGTGCTAAGGCATGTCCAATCCTTCAGGAAGGAACTACAGAGTATCAGACATGAAGAAGACAATGCTTCCCATATGTACTGGAATTTGGATGCATGTCTTTGTTTTCTTTGCTTCTGTGAAAGACAAGTGAAGGATCCCATTGCGGAAATGTTAGTGCAATTTCTAGCAATGCTTTTTGTGATTTATGCTAATGTGGTAGAAAGGAGGGGAAAACTAAATGATCTTGAGATGCAGACTTCAGCTAACAAGTCCTCAAAGTGACTGGGTAATTCAGAATGACAGCAGGCTAGTTCAGTCTTATCATTTCCCTGGCTGTTCGGCGTTCCTGAAGACCAGCAAAGCATTATGGAAGGGGGCACATTTGTTTTAAAGCCAAACAGCCCCATTCACTTCAGATGCATCAGTGTACTTGTGGTTTATTAGCATAGGATTTATTAAATTTCCTATTAGTGTGGGATTGCCTGCCCTTGTCAGCAGCTAGTGATGGGTCAGTTTTCATATACCTTGCCTTTCCTCAGACGTCTACCTGCTGTAGTTTGGTGCTGCTAGCAGCTGCTGGTGTCTTGCTGCTGGCTTGCTGGTTTATTGCAGGAAATAGCTGGTAGCAGGCCAGCAACCTCCACAGCAGTTGTATTTGTCCCTCTCTGCCACATGCTTCTCTCCTTTAAGCTCTTGTGGTGAGGCCCACAGGGATGGCTGTTACCATGCGTATCATGGTAGGATGCAGGGGCCCCTGTGAAAGGTGGGTGTCCTTAGAATCAGAATGGTTTGGGTTGGAAGGGACCTTTAAAGATAATCTAGTCCAACCCTCCTGCCATGGGCAGGGACACTTTTCACTAGATCAGGTTGCTCAAAGCCCCATCCAACCTGACTTTGAACACTTCCAAAGATGGGGCATCCACAACTTCTCTGGTCCTTGTTGTGTTATATACCACAGAGTCAGGTGCTGCTTCATCCCTGAGCCAGGTGGTTGCAGCTTTTAGCTGGGTAAAATGAAAGAGGTGCTTGACGTATGCATAGTGTGGGGTGAAATAACTGCAAAGCAGTTTTTAGCAGAATTTTAGCAGAAAGCAGGATTTTAGCAGAAAAACTAGATTAGCCAAGAAGTCACTGTTTACTGTTGAATTGTGGGTGATCTCTCTTGAACAATATTCTACTCGGTCCCTGTTGTTAGCTTTGCCTTTGTGCTTCTTATTCTAAACTTTCTTTCAGGAAGGGTGGACGCAACTTAAATCCTTTGCGAACTTTCAGGTACTGAATGTACTTTCTTGGAGGCTTAAGTAACCCGAAGCAGCATACTGTTTCCAATAACATTACGCTCTTTGTGTCTCTTTCAGCATCACAGACAGTGCTGTAGAACCATTAAAAGCTGATCTGGCTGAACTGGAACAGTTGATTAAAGACCAGCAAGACAAGATCTGTGCTGTAAAAGCTAATATTTTAAAGAACGAAGAAAAAATCCGGAGGATGGTTCTTAGCATAAACCTGTCTTCAAGAAGGTGAAGAAGAGGGAAAAAAAAAAAAAAGCCTTGGGACTGACTGGCATTCCTACCAAATAAAAACAAAATAGCGGAGAAAACTAAGATATGCCTTGTTTAGATATAAAATGTTTAGGGACCAGAAGTCTACAAATTATATAAAATTCCATTATTGCATTGATCTTTAGATGTTGATATTACCCAAGATAAAATTATATTCATTTGAATGCTCAAGTTGCAGAGCTATTAAAATAAGTTTTTTGTTTAGATGTGAACTGCTGTTACTCACTTACCAGGTCTTCACAGCCCTCTTTCCCTCCCTGGCCTGTTGAGCACAGTTTCTGAGACACTTCTCTCTAAATCTCCTTCTTCTCCTCGTTTCCACTGAGGTTACTTTTGAACATGCTGTCATGAAAAATGGGTATTAGATACTTCTTTTGCCCCCTTACAAAAATGTTCTAAACTCCTGCAGGTCAGAAGGTTCCTGAATCCTGTTTGTTATTAACAGGGAAAATTATCTACAAAACAATGTCACAAGATCAAGAAGTAAAGCCTTGTGTACCTTGCAGTTCTTTGCACCGTTACAGGGATGATGTCATGTTTTCAGAGCTATCAGGAATCTGATTAGGAACAACTGAAAATGCAATACGAGCATCACCATGTAAGGGAGCAGAAGTATTTTATCTGCACAGGTGTTAATTCCATTTTTATTGCATATGTTCATTTGGAAAGGATTAATTTAAGTACCTGTTTCCTCCCAAATGCATGTTCCTGTAACTTTTTGTACGTGAATAATTCCACTGATTTCTTTAGTTAACTGCAGATGTCTGTACTGTTTTCCTAATGACCTCTTGAGTGTACTGCACGTTAGAGTCCAGCTTTACTTATTCCTAAATCTGCAAAGCATATTAGCGTAGACACAACTGTATGACACTGCACTGAGCGCAGAAGGCTTTAGTCCCCTGCAAGGCTGTTCTCTCAAGATTTTTATAGTGTGTGAGCACACCTCCTCCCATGTTGTTTGGATTGTGTATGAACTGCTAGCGTCCATTTTTTTTTTTCCTTCTTTGATTGGCAAATCTGTGGTTTGTTTTTTTTTTCTTCTTGGTTTCTTTTTCTGGTATCTGGACCTCGAAAAACCTACTAAACAGATCGTCACCAAATAGCGTGAGTATTTACTATGTTAAATACAGACATTTTAAAGGGCAGGATGCTTTGCTGCATGGGGTTTTGGTGGGGGTGGAGAGGAAGAAGGGGACTTGTGAAAGAATAGGAGAAATTTTCTGGTCTGTTCTTAACAGCATATGACACTATGCTTTTGAATTGTGACTTCAATTTTTTTATTTCAGTATCTGAACTTAAATGGTGAAGCAATATTCTGGGTAGGGTTCAGAGAGGCAGGACTCCTGGAGTGACCCAGCCCTGCGTTGCCACCCTCTCCTACCATGCATTGCTTCTCACACAGGGTTGGAGCCTGTCCACTGCATCCTGGGTCTCATCACACGAAGGAAAAGGGGTTCAGGATGTCCACCAGAATCCCCAGAGCCCAGAACTGATGGTGAAAGCCTGCATGGTCAATATATAACTTCGGAGCGGTTTGAATGCTCCCTCTGTTCTCCCTTTAAATACTTGCATCGAAAACTATGGGGTTTAGTGAGATTGCTCAGACCCCTGCTTAGACGGTATTTGACCCTGTGAGACCCCGGTCCCTCAGTGCTTCTGTTGCCATTGCTAGAAGCCACCCTTTAAAAGCGTGGAGAGATTTGTTACTAGTCCCCCAGCCTTTGTCACCCCCTTGGTGCCTCTCCCACACCGCTTCTGCATCCACAGATGAGACCAGCGCAGTGCTGCTGGAGCACAGGGCTGGCAGGAAAGCAGTAAGAGGAGACCAGTAGCCGGGTGTTTCAGGTGTTCTCTAGGGACATTAAGTGATTTCAGCTCTGCCCTGGGTTAAACAGGATTTAAATAATGACTTTTCCTTTCCCTCAGCTACTCCGTTTCACAAACTCTTCACCAGACCCTCTCTCCTCATCTTCCCCCTGCTGATGGGTGCTGTGTGCTCTTCGTGTGGTGACATGACCCATGCATTCATCTGTCCTTGCGTTAGAAATGACTGTGCCCTGAGCTGGCGTGGAAAGCCTAGGGCTCATATAAACCTGGGGCTTGGAGGCACTGATTTGGTTCCTGGGAGACCTTAGGGATGACTTGCATATTTATGCACCCGTTTTCTTATGCTTTCTGCATCAAATATCACTTTAAACAAGAATCAGTTAGTGTTGGGGTTTAATAACATGGCTAATGTCTCCCACAGTCTTAGCTGACTCTCTGTCTAGGTTTGCTTTGTTTTCCAGTACGATGGAACAAAGCTAGTGCCTTGGAGCTGAGCCTTGGTTTAATATTAAAGGCAGGTTGAGGATGCAGCACCAAAAAAGCAAATAAACAGCTATGCCTCATGAAGGGGAAAGGAGCCTCTCTGAAAATGGATAGAGAAGAATGTCTGTGTGCACACGTCTGCCTGCGTCTCTCTTGCACACGATGCCTTGCCCGTGCCTTGGACTTGCGTTTCAGCTTGTGGGTGGTTCATTAGCAAGGGAAACTTTGCTAGTTTGGTGGTTTGGGGTTTAAAACCCTTACATTGTCAGGCCCCTCTGGCGCTAATGGAGCCTGACAGTTCTGGGAAGCAGGACTTGTATTTCATAACGTGCCTGACATTCCTCTCTTGCACAGGTCAGGAGGTGGCTGCCAGCTCCTCCGGGTTAGGGCTGGGGAATATTTCTCAGTCCAAAAGGTAGAGCTGCTGGCAGGATCCCGAAACGCAGTGGCTAGCCAGCGAGGGACACCGGTGGGGCAACAGGACCTCCCTAGATCAGGAGGACTCAGGTCCAGGGGCAGAGGAGGCTGGAAGGGGATGGTGGGGTGAGCTCAGAGGTCTCCATCTGAGGACATCAGTGAGTGCTCTGGCTGTTGGAGACAGTTCCCTAGGGTGGGAATGGAAGAGGCTTAGTTCTGTGTTCAGTGGTGCAGGGGAAAGGAAGCCTGAAGGGTTGAGGTGTGTGTAATGGGACTTGGACGGAGTTTAGGTACCAGAGGGTCCAACTGTGATGAGGGACCTCCGCTCACCTGGGACCTAAACCCTCAATTTGAGAGACACCAGTGCCAGGTGTCCTGAGTCCAAATACGCTGGCCATCTAAGCTCCTTCTAGATTCAGCCCATTTCTTGAGCATTCTTCAATTCACCTCATTGTCAGACTGAGCTCAAAAATGAGACTCCCTAGAAAAGCCCATTTCTCTGCGTTGTCTGCAAGAGTAGTTTTGGGCAAGAAAGCTCAGGTAAGGCTGTTTGCTTTGCCAGTGTATGAAGTTGTGAGATTTGTCTCACCCACCCATGAGTTTAGGAGTCCTTCAGTCTCAGACCCCGCACCTTAGCTACAAGATCAGGTATCTCTTCCCATCTCATGGAGGCTATCTGCCAGGGTTCCTCACCCATCACAAAGGTAGATGCTCTGGGATAGCAGGCTCTGCACACCCCTTCTCCCCCAAATTCTCACTCCCCACTGGTACCCTCCAGATGGAGATGGCTTCTCTAATTCAACCAGCCTGCTCAGGGGCAGAGCTCACTCTTGTTTTGGTCCTGATGGGACATGGTCCTGCTTGGAGGCATGTAGATGTGGAATTAACAGCTTTGCAAACGAGCAGCTCTTGCCAGAGCCGGCACTGGAGTGTTTGTGTTTCAGCCTTGGAGGTAAATGCTGTGTGGTTTGTCTCCTCCCGAACTGTGGCTCCAGGCTGCCTGCTGACCTGGGAAGACAGTTCTACCACTGTTCACATCTCATTATCCTCATCAGCTTGGGCAAAAGGAACACCAACAACACTATTTTTGCCTTGAAATCTGAAATTCCTGATCACATGTGTACAACTCAGGACATACCACCTCCAACACAGCCATGATGCACATGTCCCCGAGTGAGATTTGGGTTTCTCCACTCCACTGAGCTGGTGCCTGATCTTGCTGTAGCTCCCTCTGATCTGTCTCAGCAATACTGGTTTACTGTGCTGCTGGGGATCTGAAGAGCAGATGGAAACTCCTTCTGCTCGCTAAGCCAGGAGGACTGAGAGGGACACGTTGCTTCCTCCATGGCCTGCCCTTGCTTTCAGCTGACTCCTTGCTGCAATTTGCTGTATTGGATTTCTTCCTTTGTGAAGCCAGAATAGTTCAGAGGCCTCGGAGACGGTCTCCTGCCTATTGGGTTACTTCCCTTGAGCACATCTTGGAACGTAAAGGGGAAAATGCCAATTACTTTTAAATGCTGTAGAATTGCAAAGCTCTAGCTATATTTCTGTGTCAGTAGAGAAAAGCCTGGCATTTGTAAGCCAGCCAGCCCCTTTGTGATTTAGGGGAGTCAGCCCATTGAAAGCTAATTGAAACTGGGCTCCCAAACAGCTTTGCTTTAGAAATTAAAAAGCCCCAGTGATTTCCCCCCCCCAAAGCACCTTTGATCTATCCACTGAAGAGGCAACCACCGCAGCCTGATATTGCTGCTATGGTTGCAGAAAAGGGCAGGACTGTGGCTGCGGAAAGCCCAGCAAATGCAGAGCTGCTTGGGTGTTTTAAGGGCTTTCGGGAATGCATTCTTCTCTGCCAGAAGAGTCCAAGGGGGTGAGCTAGCTCTGGGACCTTGCGTATCTTAGATGGCTGGACCCTGTCTCAGCTGAATTTGCACTCTCCCCTCTTCCCGGAGTCTGAATGCACGTGTGGAGGTGAGCCAGTCTAGTACCTGTGATGGACTTGGGAGGTGCCAGCCGGGGAGTGGTCTTCAGCTCTCGGAGAGCCACAGGCATGTTCCACGACGCCCGGGATAGCTGCCTGCAATGCCAAGGCACGCCTCTTCCAAAGTGCTTCTTGCCATGTTTTGTGAAAAAATACAAAGAAATAACATTTCTATTTTCCAGTGAGAAATTTAATTAGAAGGAATTAAAAGGTATAGTTTATAGTTTAATTTAATGTGATGAAAAAAGGATTAGCTCCTTCCCCCTCCTACCCAAATCCCAACCTAAGACGATGGCAGCCTGGCCTCCAATTGCATCCAACAGCCACAGAAGGGAAACGCTTACCAAGAAGAAAAGGGAGAGAAATTCCACCCCAGATTTATGACTTGCGAAGCAGAGTTTGCATGGGTTAGCCTTATTTTATGTCGCACTAGGTCCCACAGACTCGACTTTGTTGTGTGCC